GTGCCCGTTGGTCGCCCGGGCGCGGGGGCCGGGGGCGCTGCCGGCCCCGGGTGCTCAGGACGGGCTGGCGAAGTTGGAGTTGTTTAGTCTAGGAAAGAGGCATGTGGGTGTGGGGGGGGTGTGTGTGTGTGTACAAAACCAGGCCTGAAATATGCCAAAAATTGCTGGGAAAAGGGAGAGAACAAAGTGTTTTCCCTTGCCGGGAGGGAGGCCTGGGCTTCAGCGAAGCAGGTATTTCCCCAGAAGTTTTTTTTGGGGGGTGCGGGGGTGGTTTGCAGGGGCAGCAATGCTGCTCCTGTTGGGAGGCTTTTAAGAACAGGGCAGACTTCCATCTCCTGAAACGCAGCGCCAGGACTGCCACCCTGCACGCCATCACCACCACCCCGCCCCGATGCCCAGACTCTGTCCCTGGAAAGGGGACGCTGCATCAGGGTGGGAGGTGACTGAGCATCCCCACGGGAGGGGACGCCCCAGGGGATGCTCTCCTCCACACAACAGCACCCGGCAACGTTATGGGTGCTATGCACCCATGGAAATAATAAATGATATTTCAACCTGAGGAAGGCCCTCCAGGTCGTGCAGGGGTTTGATATTTTCAAAATTTGATTTCAGTGCAATTTGGATTGCCCCCCCAGTTTTCACTTGCTGCTTCTCACCGTCTTATTTCTTTTTTATCTCTGTATGAGGGACATCCAGGAATCACCAGATCCCAATTGCTTTCCAGTCTGGGGCTGAGTGGTCTCTGTGCAGCATTGTGATGTTGACAGCCAGGCAAGCTGTGACTAGAAAAATGTTTTGCTGGAATCTTTCTGGCCGGCTTGAATCCTTTTGGATTGCAAAACCCCCGCGCTCACCCTCCTCGCCCTCCTTCATGCTCTAGAGCCAGCGGCTTTGCTCTTCCATTTCGGCCTTGGTGCTAACTTGTCGGGCTGGGATAGCCAGGGCTGTCCGACCCTTTGAGGCTGCTGGAAAACAGCCCCGTGCACCCAATGCCGTGCCCTTCCAGCGCCAGGAGCAGAGCTGCGGTGGAAATATGGGGAAAGAGAGGCAGAGAGGAGGGGTGAAGGGATGGAGACAAGTTGCCTGCCAGCCCCAGCTGCCTCTGCTGCCTTCATCCTAGCACTGGGGCTGGAGGGGTGAAAGATCCCAAGAAACACACGTTGCAGGCTACAGCTTGTGCTAAGTGCTTCCTGGTAGCCTTTGGCAAGGTGTTTATGTACTGTGGGAAGTACCAAACCCTTTTTACCTAAAGATTTGCTGCTTGTTAACACCAGGAATTTTTTCCTTGGTTTTATGCTACAGGATGGAGATCCCTGGGCTTTGTACCATGTTCATGGCTCACCCCATCCCGGCTCACCCCATCTCAGCTCACCCCTTCCCAGCTCACCCTATCCCGGCTCACCCCATCCCATCTCATCCCATCCTGGCTCTCCCCCCTCGCTGAGCTGCAGCAGTCCCCTTGTTTGCAGGTACCAAATCCCCCTCATCACCCTACGAAAACGCCCTTCCCGCGGCATGCAGAAGAAGTCACCTGGGTGCTGGCAGTCACCTGGGGGACACCTGGCCACTCTACAGCACCAGATAGCGTAATGTCACCTTTGAAACCACCCTTAATAGGATTGCCTGGAAAAATTTATTATTAGAGGTCCCTAAGGGTGAGTGTGGCTGGAGGCACTGGGCAGGGGGGTGCCCAGCCCTGGGGTCGAGGAGGCTGAAAGCCCTGCCCATCCCCAGCAGCGCTGCTGCGGCGGCGGCTGGGAGGTTTGCTTTGTTCCCTGGGCAAACAGCCCCGCTGGGGCTCGGCGCTTTCTTGTTGCTAATTTAATGTGGCAGAGGCCTTGCCGAGGGAGGAGCTGCCGGTCTGAGCACCTTCCCTAGCTTTTCGAGGGCCCATCCAAGCATGGTATTTTGGCACCCACTTGGCTTCAGGCAGGAGCATTGCTGCACCCCTTCGACAAAGTGGCGGAGCTGGTGGGCACCAATAATGCTGACCTCAGCATTTAAACCTCTTGTGATGCTGCTACCCGTAAGGGAGAGTCTTGATGCCATCGAGTGTAGCGATACCATTAAACCAAGTTGGGAAGCATTGGGTGGACTTAAAGAAACTTAGAATTAATGCAAGAATATACAAATATAATCATTCAGACTACGTCTCTGTCTAGCCCAGCATTCTCTTCCCCATAGTGGTCCATAGCGGGTGCTTTGAAAGAATATAAACACCATTTGATGCCTGACCCTGTGGATGTCTCCTGCAGCGAGGAGTTCCACGGCTCCTTCACATGCGACGTGGGAAAAAAGTACATTTTGGGGGGGGGAGGTTGAACTTGCCACCTCCTAGTTTTGTTTGGCATCCGGCATATCTGGGCTCCAAGGGATCGTGCTTGGTTTTTCAGAAACTTTAATGAGTGAGAGGAAGCCATGACTCAGCTGCCGATGAATCACTGCTGCTCCAGATTATGCATCTCTGCTTGCTGGTGCCCCTCAAGCTGAGGAACTGATTAAACCTGGACGAAGCAAGCTCCTGTCACATCATGGAATGTCGGTCTGAGCCCAGGTCTGGGACCAGCTGGAAATCAAACCCCACCTCCAGCCCCTGTTTTCCATCCATCCTTCCCAAACTCCTTATTTCCATGTGAGATCAAGGCCTTTCCCATGCCGAAAAGCCCCTCTGACAACTTCCATTTCCTCCTCCATTCCCCTCAACCTAAAATTTTATTTGGAAAACACTACTAATTTTACACTGAAAATAGAAACACCCTCTTGTTTCCCCCTTGTTTCATTGGGTTCAGCTGATTTATTTACCAGTTTGCCCCATTACTCAGCTGGGAGCTTCACTCCTGCCTTGATAACACCCAGCTGGTATCCAGGGCTGGTATGTTTGGTTTTTTCTCAGCACAGTAGGGTGGGAGGAGATGCAAAGTGACTGCAGAGATGAGCACACCTTTCTCCCCAGCTGCTTGCTCTGCTCTCCGGTTGTGATTTCTGTTTGCAGACGCTGGCCTGGCTTAAAGTAAGCAATGGAAAACTCTGCTCCCAGAGAAACATTCCTCTCATTTTTTCTCCCATGCTTCTGCCTTTTCCCCACCCTCTCCCCCTCCCACAAAAAAAGCCTGCAGTTTAAACACCAAAAATAAAGCATGCCTGGTCGTGGGCTGGATAAAAATACCAGCCCTTGGTATTTACTTTAGCACCAGCAATAGGCTTTCCAGCTTCGGAGGAGAACAGGAGAGGCAGAAGCAGGATGGCATGGCATGGCATGGCATGGCATGGCATGGCATGGCATGGCATGGCATGGTGACCCTTGGCGGGGTGGAGGACAAACACTGAGCTGGTGTTTTTGGGGCTGGCAGGCTCTATGTCAGCTGCTCCCTCCCCTCCTCTCCCTCAGTTGGTACCTACTGGTCTCTGTCCCCTCTGGGAAGGGGGGAGCTAGCACCAGCAATAGGCTTTCCAGCTTCGGAGGAGAACAGGAGAGGCAGGCATGGCATGGCATGGCATGGCATGGCATGGCATGGTGACCCTTGGCGGGGTGGAGGACAAACACTGAGCTGGTGTTTTTGGGGCTGGCAGGCTCTATGTCAGCTGCTCCCTCCCCTCCTCTCCCTCAGTTGGTACCTACTGGTCTCTGTCCCCTCTGGGAAGGGGGGAGCCCAGGGGCGGTGGGGCTCAGGTGCCCCAGTCCCACCTGTGTCCCACCTTGGTGCCGATGTGCTGGTTTGGGGCTGCACTTAACTGCCTGGGGCTCAGTCCCACATGGGCAGCGATGGGGGAAAGGCTGCTTTCAGGAGAAATGCCCCCAGACTGATGAGTTTTTTGGGGGTGCCTCTTCCCCACCTATCACCTGGGAGGCTTTGGGTGCAGCTGGGCTTGCTGAGGTGGGTCCGAGTGTGCTGGAGCATCCCTCTCTGGTGCTTAGGGGAAAGAAAAGGTGGGGATGGGGAGCGAAGTGGGATCCTTGGGTGCATCCTCAAGTCCCGCTTGGTGCTTGTGTTGAGCAAAGATGGGGTACAGGGACCCAAGTGTGTTTGGGGAGGAGGGAGGGTGTGTGTCTCTGCACCTGATGGGGTGAGAGCAAGCAAGAGGTGGCAGCTTGGGGTGCATTTTGGTGTGTGCTGTCAGGTTTAGGAGGAAAGTGGTAGGGCTTTTTGTTGGTTTAGAGCTGATGATTGTTTTGTGTGTGTGAGCATTCAGGAACTCCTTCCTGAGGAAATCCTACGGGCAGCAGTGGTGGTGCACGAGGGGGAAAGGAGACGTACCGGAGCCGGGCAAGCCCCGGCAGCATGACGTAGTGCCTTCCCATTTAGGAATGGCTCAAGGATTAGTTACATGAAGGCCAGGGGACAAAAAACTCATTGGTGAATGGGGGTGCCCCTTCCCTTGGCATGGAAAGGGGGTCACCGGCAGT